TCCGTTTCATATGCTCCGTTTTTCAACTCTACGAGCTATTCTTTACACGTCATTTTGTACTTTTCATAAGTTAGCAACCCTGTTTTAGCGCAAAATCGTTTGATTGATGAACTTTGTAACTGAGCATTTTTGCTTCAAAATACCAATTGATTGAAGGGAACGGAAACGATGCCAAGCAGACATAAACACATACTTTCCGACTGTGGAACGATAGTTATGCCAGAATATGGCTATTAATTTTAAACTTACTTATAAGCGAATTCAAAAGGTAGACCTTATTGAGTGTAAAAGCGTGTCAGGATAGTTTATCGATTAGATTATCGATTAGTTGTATTGTTGTGGCAATAAGCAATGGAAGCTCAAATTGGAAGAAAAAGGAAAATATGGTTTTGATAACAAATTCTTATCCTCCTTATGCTTAAGTTAACGTGGCAGTTAAGGGGCTGGCACAGTGAGACGTCATTCTCAGTGGTAAACACTTTATTATTTTATTACGTTATATTAGCTGAGTTTCATGTGTAAATAAATAAATGAAATAAATAAAAGTAAACCGTGATTGAATCAATGAAAATGGCCAGCCGTGCTACCATATTGTTCTACAGCAAACTGTAAACAAAAACATATGGTTTTAGGACCAGAAATAAGGAAATCGGCGTAATTTATAAAAAATAATAACAAAAAAGTTAACATAAAGGTAAACAAGCTGGTTTATTGACTTTACATTAGATATGTATTTGTGTATTCATTGATCAATAATTTGGAAACTATTTCTTCTTAAAAAATAATGCATAGTATAAACCCAAATCGCAAATCACGTAATACAAAAAACAAAAAGAAAAATGTGCACTAGTGCGAGGCAAACATAAATTAGATAAGTAATTTCTAAATTTAAAATAAATTGACATCTTGTGCGCTGTTTTCTTCTTGGTTCGCGTGTATGCACGCTGTATGACTGTATGATTTGTTAATTCCCATACAGTATTGTAAGAAGCCGGCAAAGTTGTAGTCCCAACCAGAAAATAGGAATAACGCCTCATTGTTACGCTTACAATCCAATATCACATTTAAATATTTAATAGCATTTTTTCAAGGAATCCCGTTACTCTTACTGATGGTTTATCTGCGCAAAAAGATTCCTTCAGTTTTCTGTCAAGTGAAATCTTCCACTTTTCGAAAAATGTGCATACGTTGCGTAAGTGCGTTCTCCAGATTGGTAACAAATAGGCGTTTGTGTCTGTGCAACGCCGACAGCAAAACTATCAAAACCTATTTGAATGTCAGCTTTCCTATTTCGCCTTGTTTCTGCTTTACGTGCGAGACAGCATTGTGGGAAAAAATCAAAAAAGATTGTGAAAGGAACTGCTTTCTCTATAATTTTTCGCTTATTCTTTCCGAAACCAAAGTGTATTTTCAAGCGCCTTATTACTTTCGTTATATATCTCAAGCGATGCCAATCGTATGTTTCCGTAAGAAAAAAGGGTTACAAGATATGATCGCGCGTTTCGCTTGACTGTTATCTCATAATTGTTTCTTAAATGGATTCCAGAATGCAGCCAATCTAGTCTGCTGTCATAATTTTTTTTTTCAACTTTTAGTTACGATTATATTCGTTTTTCTCTGGTTACTAAATATGTTGGATAAGATCCTTTTTTTCTTGTTTCTTTACAGTTTGTACTAACGTACGTTACGTCCGCTAAAGCTCCTTTCTGTGATTGAATGTTGTACTAAGTTCCGTTAAATTCATAAAAATCATTCATTATAATATGCCCGCATGGTTTCCAATAATCTCAGGGTCATAAGGCGTTAGATTTTGTTTACATTTCTTCTTTGTTTTTTTTTTTTTATTTTCACGAATAGATAGCAATGTCAAGTATATGTCATGTCTACATTATAAAAAATATGTTTGTAAGCGATCGCTTTCTTTAATTTGTATTTTGCGTAATTTTTATATTAAGTGATTTGAGTTTTTTTTCTTTCTTTGCCGTAATTTTCCAGTTATTCCGATCTTTAGATGAAATAAACATGAATAAGTGGAATAAGGAAATAAATCGTTATGAGGACATCAATAGATCTGTCTGTCAAGATATTTATTTTTAAAACGATTTTTGTGCATAAGCTAACTACAAACTCTTAAAATGAATGAAAGAACCGAATTGAATATCAGCCTGAAGTTAAGACGGCGGAAATATACATTGCAACCCTCAAATGGCATAGCAGATACTATTATGGGCATTTTAAATCAATATTTCTTACAAGCTATAAGATTTTTTCCCAAGTTTTTATCTGGTCTCCAAGAGCTCATAGACGGATCGGGCCCATTACTTTATGGCCGTCTTACGAATTTCCCCTCATAACTTTAAAAGTTTGCTCACACAAGCAAATTTGATTTTAAAATTCGAAATTAATATCAATCGGCTTATCTGCCCACTCATAATTTAAAAAAAAAGGAAAGTTGACATAACATTGGCATTGGCAATTACCTTGGAGACGTTACAAAGCTTAAATACATTCACACAATGCATTCCACACAATTAATTATATGACGAAATGAATTATGTATAAGTTACTGATGAATGAATTACAAATTTTTGGTCCCTTTGGTTTTAAGCTTCATCTTAGAATAGAGTGCCAAGCCCTTGGGAGTGCGTACAATTGCGGAAGCTTACAAAAACGCATATTTCTAAGTTAAACCAGACTTTTATGAAAAATGCATAGAATCTTTGATCCATATTTCTGCGCTTTCTAGAAGTAATTATAGAATTCTTTAAGTTTTCTCTATTCGGCTTTATATTATTTATTTTTCGTTTGCCTTTCATTGACCATTAAGAATGTCATCAAATACACTCTCATCAGTTATTCCAAAATGTAGAAATAATCTCTTGGTTGTTACACCTGTGTGCTTTTTGTCTTCTACTCTTGCAACACTTCGAATTTCCAAATTTAAGCTACATTAACCTACATGAAGTGGGACGAGCTCAATTTGCGGCGCATAAAAATAATAGATCAAAATTTGGCTTTTGACAAAATTCAACGTGGCTTTGTGGCTATATTTGAAATTCTTTCCAAACGGCTTATAAATGGTTCCTTACTACCTTTTATTCACTTCCAAGAACAATTTGCGTCTCTATAATATTAACGCAAAGATTTCCCGATTATCTCATAGTATAATCTTTAAATCTCTAAATATAATTTCGATTTAATTTAATTCTGAAAAGAAGAAAGTTAATGCAGACGGCCTTGCATTAAGAATGATACTTTCTCGGATCTCGTCCCCGCGATCCCACGATTATTGTAAAATTTTACCTTAGTGGCAGGTCAATCATATGTGTTTGTGTGTGTGTATTTGGTCCTTAGAGAATTGGGTTGCCAACATTATTGCTCTATTTAGGCCACCGCTGTGTGGGATTTAACGCACTCGAATTTATGGCTTCGAGACCAAATCAAACGCTGGGCCTTTCGAACATTTGAAGGCGAAAGTACACCTGACGCAACAAATGCTAAACAGATTGATTAGCATTCATCCTATATTACTCTTAATGAAAGAGCCTTTAGATTCGAAAGAGTGCGTGAAATGTTTTTAAAAAAGTTGGACCATATTAATTGGTAAATTAATGCGATTTATTGAATTTGTTTATGCAATGCAAAAATACTTTCCCTTCGAATTCTTGGCATTCATATAAAAGAATTCAAAAAAGCCTTAAGGTGCAGAGAAGACGACAAGAAGGGATAAATCATTTTGAACAAACGTTTATATGCTACGTACTTACATGAAGTATACATAACATGAAAAAAGCGCAGTAAAGTATGCAACGATATTTTTTTATTCAATTTGAAAAATGACTTCTTCCCACGTGCAAATATAGTCCGTAAAAATTAAACCTGCTTTAGGGTGTTCACGCAATGAAGCCTCGCTTATATTCGCAAGTCGAAGATTAGCCTAACCGAAAACACCTTTTCTTTAAAGTCTGAGAAAAAGCCTTATTTTCTGTTTCTACATGCGGAAGAAAAGACGGCCAAATTACTTGACGTGCATAACCGAACAAGGCATGTTGTTGTGGATTCCGAAAACAACGATTACTGAAGTTTTGTATGAGACGCATGGCGAACTTGGAAATAAATAAAACTTCCGGGCGAATTAGGCGGCTGTACTACTGGCGTACTTTAGTAGACTATATCAAAGATTATAAAGCTGTATAAATTCATGTGTTTTTCTAAACGACAATGCATCCTAATTACGTCTTATGATCCTTCATAGGTAAAACTCATAAGCAGGGTCATTCAAAAATTATAAAAAAATTCCTTACTCCTGCTTCCTCGAGTCGCATAAAGAATTCATATATATATATATATATATATATATATATATAAGTAAGTTCATATATATACATATATAAATATATATATATATAAGTGCTTTTTTGCGCACTTTTAGAAATTGTCTCTTTTAAGTCTTAGAAAAAGAAAAGATTTGAATATTTTCGGAGCTCGATGGAGGTGTAAGCAGTCCAAAAGTTCGTAGGAAAATATCATAACGTCCATAATTTCGCAATTAATCATTCGTTCACCTCAGGCAGACATTTCGCAACCTTTGCGATAATTAAGATAAAATGCTTAACTTCCTAGCTTGCGCATTGCGATCAAGCTTGCGCTCCACTATAGGAATTGAAACCTATATAATATTGCCTTGGGTACAACATATGATTACAAATGCGCCATGTTATGCATTAAGTAAACAGTTTATATAAAATTTTCACGTTTCGTTCACGTTTCGTTCGCAACAAATTATAATTGCAATTATGAAAGTAACGGACTACAATATATTGCAATTGTTTTTTATGATATTAATTCAATTCATTTGTAATTTTAAAATATTTTCGGTCAATGATACGTTTTCCTTAAGCTCGTCACAATCAGAGGGAAAAATCCTATAATAATATTGTATATTTTTCTCTTCCATAGGGATCTTAAATACAATAATTTTCCTACATACCGAAATGCAACTTTGGAGCGCTAATAACATCCCAGGTTTGTTAATAAGTTGTAATTGAATAATTCGCCAACCACAGCTGTTTGTTTATATGACAACAGACAGTTGTAATGTCAAGAAAAAATCATGAAATTGTGTTTAGACTGAAGTTTCATTTCCAAAGAGGATTTCCAAAGAGGAAGTTGGTTAAATAATTCAATAGGAAAAAAAAAAAAAAGAAAAAAGAGATAAAAAATATTTGAAAAAGGGATTATATTGTCGATAATAAAATAAAGAAAGTTTTACTAATACGTCGGAAATTAAAGTAGCATCTATAGCGAGAGCATGTCGGCATTTACTGAAACGGCGTTATTAAAAAAATTGGCCGAATTGAATTCTAGCCAACAGAGTATACAAACGCTATCCTTATGGTTAATTCATCATCGTAAGCATCATGCCGGCATTATTAAGACGTGGCTGCGGGAAATTGAAAATGGTAAATGTTATTCCACTTCTTTTAAGCAAGTTTCATATTAAGCATCTTTGCCTATGTCGCTTTCTGCTTTTCAGTACCAGAGTCCAAGAAACTTATCTTTATGTACTTGGCCAATGATGTTATACAGAACAGTAAAAAGAAAGGACCGGAATATGGTAAAGAATTTTCAAATATTTTGCCTAAAGTATTCTCACATATTGGTGAAACTTGTACTTCGGATAAACTTTTCGGCAATTTGGGACGTATCTTAAATATATGGGAGGAGCGTGGCGTCTATGAACCTAAAATGATAGCTGATTTTAGAGCCAAACTTCACAAACAGAACCATTCGAACGAAGGCAATGACGGCAAGCGTAAAAGCGAAGAAAACAATAAGACTAAAGTAAAACGGTCACGGACTTCTTCAGACAGTGACGATAAAAATACTGCACTTCTGTTTGAACTGAATGGTGACGCTGAGCAAAGTCCCTATTTGCCTTTGGGTGACCCGCCTGAACCGGAGGAGTTAATAAAGGCTTTGGTTAAAATTGAAAATTCTGCCTCCAGTGACGCTATAGTACGAGAGCGTATTGCCAATCTGCCACCGGAAATTTCAGAAATTAGCTGCCTTAATAAACTCGAGGATAAAGACGCTGCTAAAGCCTTAGCCAATCAGGTTGGTGTGCAAAGAAAATTTACGGTCCTTTTGGAAAGTATTGCAAATAAAAAGCCGAATTTAAATTTAGGTTAACGAAGCTGTTGAACTTCTAAATGATTACAATTCACGCTTAGCAGCTGAAATGGAGGAACGCACCAAATTGGCGTCGATGCTGCGAGATTTTCAAGCCGAACAAAAAGAATTGCTGGTGCAAGCGGAAAAACGCTTAGAAGTAAATGTTGCTTTCTTTTTTTCACATTTATCTCTTATTTCAGCAATGAAATTGTAGTCAAAGGCTTCCGTTAGGAGTTACAAGCAAACCTTGCAATATCCAATATCTATTGTAGTAGTTTCATTAAAAACTATTTGGTCTGGAGTTAGTGAAAATTACTAAAGCTGTTGATTTGAAGTCGATAGAGATACTATTCAATTAAAAATCTTATTAAATAAATGTAATTTTAATTTCCAGTGTAGTTTATATAAGCAAAGTACCTATGGCAGTATTTTAAATAGACAACCCATAATGAAACTTTAAGATATTATTTTTTGTTTCTTATCAACGGACTATAAGTATAAAGAAAAAAAAAAAAAAAAAAAAATATATATATATATATATAACAAAATCTCGTAGTAATAAACAGCGAAGCTTAGATTGATTATAAAAGTCACTTTTTAAAAAATATATTTACTGCTCTCATTTTTTTTTTGTATAACGAATTTAAAAAAAAAATGTTTTGTTTTCTTTTAATTGTAGGAGTATAAGAAGAAATTGCAAAAAATTTTAGCCGTACAAAAGGAAATTCGTGATCATCTCTCCAATTTACCTGATTTAACACAATTGCCCGATGTTACTGGCGGTTTGGCTCCGTTACCCTCAGCCGGCGATCTCTTTAATATTCACTGAATGAATGGCTTTTAAAAGTAAACTTTTATTTATTCTTTAGATTCTATGAATTGTTTATAAAAAGAAGGCAAAATTTCTTGATTTATTAAG